AATTACTATATAGGGTATATTGGGGGCAGAGAAAGGGCCTTTGACATTACTCAGGTATACTCGAGAACATATTTTCAAGCAACTTAAATATATATATCTCACACACTGACCGACATATTTGGCATAATGATTGCTATAATTACGAATTATTATATATATGTATGTATGTAGTATATGGGAGTTGGGTTAATTCGTCGACTAATTTCACATATTTACTGCATTCAACTGTAGTATATTATAGGTTCAGTTAATTTTGCTAAGATGCCTTAAATGATCGATCTATACTGTAAGCCAATCGTTTGAAAATCTTACATTAGGTATATGGCACATAGGGATAGCATTGACCCGATTTAATCTTCGTTTGGGACTACTACATATGGACTAATAGAAAAAGACCCTCTCTGAATTTTATAAAGGTACCTCACATACCATCCCCAATATAGGATATGTGGAGTAAAGTTTACCGGATATTTGATTCTGGTATTAATTATATGGGGTCTAGGGTATGTGTTCAACCGGTTTAAACCACTTAATGAACAAAAATAGATTGTTATTAGAAAAACACACTTCTTCAATTTCATTAAGATAACTAACATTTTGACCGATATTTGCGGTATAACGTCAGCCGGATGTTTGAAAATTTTCCATTAAGTATATTGAGACTAAGGAAATTATTGATCCGATTCAACGCATTTATGGCACACGAGCATATTATTGTCAGATAATGATTCTCTGAGAGTTTTTGTAATATATCTCAGAGATTGACCAATATTTATTTACAAAAAGATCGCAATAACCGATTTGGCTAATTTGTGGTCATAAGCTGGCAAAATTTAAAGGCAGTATTTGTGCACAGTTTTATCCCGATATGCTTGGGGCTTAATTTGTATACAAGAAAGTGAAACAATCAGATGGAATTTAAAATTGTAGTCCGATTTCGCCCATAATGCTACCTATCGGTTGGAATCGGTTGAGCAGGTCTCGTCAAATTTTGACAGCGGGTATGACCATCTTTCCTATGGCCTCGGATGCAAAATTTTATGTTTCTGACGAGTTTAGTTATTGGTTTATCGCGCATTTAGTAGTTTTTATATGAAGAATGGGATTTGTCCTGAGCGAATTTGGTCATAACAGCTTAAATGGTCTAGAAAATATGTATGCACATTAAACCTCTTAGAGCGCTAGGCCACACGCAGTTTTTTCAAAAATATTGGCCTACATGGGCCCCTTGCTACTGCGAAGCCAAATAACAGTTTTATATCTTAATTTAGCGCTTAATTATGGCACTTTATTAATTTTTACTCAAGTTACAGCTTGCACAGACGGGCGGACGGTCAGACAGTCACTCAAATGTCGAAACGTTTACTTGACTTGTGATAGGAGCAAGTGTTCAGATTACGAATTTATTCATGAAAGTATTAAATGTGCTCTTATTTTTTGTTATTTGCATTTCTTATATTTTGATCAATTATCAACTTATTATTAATAAAAATGTTTACCCAGTCATAATTAGTGTTCTGCTCCCCTTTATGCTTGGGGCTTAATTTGTATACAAGAAAGTGAAACAATCAGAT